ATTCACATATGTTTATGATCATATATATGTATGTATATGTACATGCACACATATATATATACCACCTATGTGTGCACTAGCACACACACCATACACACATGTATACACCACACACATGCACACATTTCACATACACCACATATACAGCACACACACACACACACACACACACACACACACACACACACACACACACACACAGCATGAATACCAGCAGTCCCTCTGTTTCTATGAATGCTGGTACCCCATTCTCCTGACCATAGCTTTAACAAAGATTGAAGCCAGAGAGCACTGAGCTTCTAGCTTGGTTCTTTTTCAAAGATGCTTTTGTTGTTCTAGATCCTTTGCGTTTCCTGGAACTGGACTTAGATTATGGGTTTCTGTAAAATAGGTTGCTGGGAATATGATCCATACTTTAAAGGAATCTAGAGATCAACATGGAAAACTATAATAACACTCTGTCTTGAAGTTTGTGGACACATTTTACACATTATATTAATTTGATTTTTTTCCTCTGCAATTTTTGGAGATTTCAGGTATTTTTTTTTAAATAGACATGTAGAGATTTGCTCCTAAGAATGTCAAGTTTTTGTTGCTTCTGGAAACAGCATTGGAAAAGTTTCAGCACTGCTGTTGTATAGACATTGGGTTAGTTGTAGACATGGGCCTGGTTTCCTGGAGTCTGGCTACGTCATTGTTCCTAGCAGCTTTTTGTATGCCCATCACTGGACTTCCTACCCAAACCTCTAGGACAGTCTTCAAGAGTAATGCTCTTTTAAAAGCAGGTTTTTTGCTACATGAGTGTGTGTTTCTAGTGACAGCCATTCACGGGCAGGGGAGAGTCGCGTTTCCGAGTGAAACAGAAGTTTCATGAGCACGCACGCAGATCCTTCGCCTTCTGTTTCCCTTCATGCCAGTGGTCAGGCTCGCTTCACTTGCTGGCTGTAAATCCACTTAGAATGTCTCTGAAAAAACACAAAGCCCTATATAGGTAGCCAGGTGCTAGCTCACGTTTCAAATTAATTATGGCTTTCAATTCACTGAGAGTCGGTTATGACCTTTTAAAAACACTTTACAAAGTTTAATTTATAAAAGGAAGAAAATGGAAAATGGAAAACCCAGATTCCACAATCACGCTGCCCGATAGCTGTCTTCTTTGCCGTCCTGTAAGTTTAAACACAGGAATGAAAATTTACTTGTCGGATTTCCTTTTCTGTTAGAGGAAGGGTTGGAGAGGGAGCTACACTGCATGGTGAAAGCTCTTAGGAAACATGCACTTTTGCTGTGTTTATTTTTGCTGGCTCAGGGAAGGATGGTAGTTGACAAGCAAAATGGCTGGCCTCCCAGATGGTGCAGGCAGAGGGGTGAGGAACACGCTCTCACCTCATTCCCTGTCTCCCGCACAGAGGCATTGGTCCTCACAGAATCTCACTGACTTGACTTGATGTTCTGCATCCCTCATCCCAGGCTCCCCTCTTCCATTCTCCTAGCCTTTTCTCTTCCATTATCACTATGTCAATATACTTGATGCATTAAGTGTTGGTGCTGTAGATAGCAAAGCAAGCATCGTGTGTGTGTGTGTGTGTGTGTGTGTGTGTGTGCACGTGCACGAGCGTTCATGATTCTGAGAGAAAAGGACAGATGAAAAAAATCCTCTGTGTGTGCTCACGAGGACACCTGAGCTTCACCTGCCTTTCTAAGACTGTTCAAACATGAAGGAAGACACTGAGTGGTCAAGTGGAGGACCCCTTACCATGCGTTAGCTCACCTACCATTTTCAGGGTAGAAGTCATAGGACTAATAGGCAGGAAAAGATATCTCTGTTACCATTTAGTTATTTAACAGGTTAAAAAGCATATTACATTTATTTATGTGTGTGTATGCATGTGTGTGCACATGTGCACCATGCCATGCTTGCACGGAGGTCAGAGGACAACTTGCAGGATTCAATTCTGTCCTATTCTTTGGGATCAGTAGATTGAACGCAGGTCATCAGGCTTGTTGGCAAGTGCTTTTACCTGCAGAACCATCTTGCTGGCCCTTAGAAAATATTTTTGAGTGCTAACTATGTATGAGCTTCCATGTAAACATTGAAAGTATAAACACTTTTAAATATTTAATCAATAAAGTACAAAAATCTCATTCCTCTAGGTGCTTATCTTCTGATGAAGATAAGAAAGAGGCTAAATAAGAGATAAATCATGTATCCTTATATAAGAAATGAAAATTATATGGATAAAAGAAATAGATCAGACTTTTAAGTAGCGGGAGGAAGTGGAAGGTGGAGAGGAACCTGCAGAGGAGCTGGGAATGACTGTATCTTTACATTGATTAGCAGCGAACCCAGTGGTGTCTGAACGAAAGCTTGGAGGAGGTAAGAGAGCCGGTTAAACCCTGTGAATGATTTAAACAGGGCTGGGCATGAGGTGACTAAGGAAGAGAAAGCGGGCTGCTGCAGTCTCCCTCTGCCTCTGGGAGCCTGGAGAGTGGAAGAGACCCCTGCAGCCTACAAAGTCATTAGATGCTTCTTAAAGGTCCCCAGTCTCTCATGTGGTTTTTGACAGCCCTTCCTGGGATTATACCAGTTTGAATGGGAGACCCCCCCACCCCATGTTTTTCCTTTTAACTTTTAGTGTCCACCCCACCTTCCTTTCTGTCTTTCAACCCCCTCACGTTCCTTCCCTCTCTCCCTTCCTCCCACCAACCCTCCTCTCCTTCTCTATTCCTCCCTCTCTCTTTCTCTGTATTTTTGATGTATTATCTCCTGCATCCTAGGTTGGTCCAGAACTCACTCTATAACTGTGAACTCCTAGTTCCTTTCCGAATGGCTGCAGAGGAAGTTTGCTAGGTCCCAAGGAAGCAAGTGTGTAGCATGAGCATTTGAGCCATGCAAACAGTGCAGGAATAGTCTGCTTCTGCTTGCTGCCCTGTGCAGTGGAGGACAGGGAAGTATAAACACACAGTCTACAGAGAAATAAAGACAAAGAGGGGAACCCATCTACATCCATTTCCTTCTCGCCCCACCCTGTCTCTTTCTTACACGGAGCTTCCTTTCTTCTCAGACCTCTTGGGAGTATCAGTTGTTGATAATGCCCTGCCCTAAATGCAGTCCCGCACTTTAGAGAGCCTTCCGCTATTTATCAAAGCTGTTTAGTCCTCTTGACTGGTTCAGAGGCTTTTGACTTCCTCTCTTATCTTTGGAGCGTCCTGACTGTTGGTGGCCCACACCCATGTCCAGCTCTAAGCACACATTCTCCACGGTAATCCCAGTGCTTCCGCTCTGCTTGTGACTGGGTGGCTGTTTACTCTCACATCGCGTCCTCATTTTGCATATTATGGAACTGACTTTTCTCCCACACACTTTGCACCCAGTAAGGACAATCAGTATTGCTGCATCCTTACAATTATTTCATTTGTGTTTATCCTGCCTTAAAACCGATGATAAACCTCTCTCTTCCTCTGACAGCCCTGCCAAGCCTTAGTTTCTTCTCTTGTGAAAAGGAAAGGAGGGGACACTAGTACTTTTCTCTCAGAATTGAGTGGGTGGAACAAAATGATGTATGCTCTGTGTAGCTCAGTGCCCTGAACTTTGTAGGCATGCAGCAGGTATTGACTTCCTCTCTTGAACTTATCTTCAGTGCCAAAGACAAAATTGTTCCCAAGGAAGCAGTCAGCACAGATGGGGTGAATGGTGATAGACCCGTATACATAGGAACTATTCTACCCTGACTTTGATGTGTATTTTTCTTTTGAAGGATTTCAATGAGTAGTCTTAAATCTACATTTTGAAATAACACACTGAAGCATAAATTTGAGATGAAAAAATTTGTGATATGGAAGTGAAATTTGTGAACGAGATGAGGAAGCAGCCACTCCTTCACTGCGTGTGTGTGTGTGTGTGTGTGTGTGTGTGTGTGTGTGTGTCTGTGCATGTGTGTATCTGTGCATGTACGTAGAGGCTATAGAGGAGATCTGGTCACTTAGAAACACATTATTCCCTGCTCTTCATGCTGCAGGTTTTACAGGGTAAGCTCCCACACGTGGAGGGCTATGTTTTTTTCAAACTTACATGCCACTTCAGGGACTCCACCATAAATGGTTCGTTGTGTCTGCATGTGTAAGCCACATTCTCCAACATGAGATGGATCAGAGGTAAAAGTACCACCTTTATCTCCATGTACTACACTTTTGTACCTCTCTGATGGATCTGAAACTGGGTGTTTTCCTAAACTGTCTCTACTGTCTCCCGAAGTCCTCTTCTGTATAGTCTAAGATTATACCAGTAAAACAGCATCCTTTCTCTAAACAGCCTTTAGAAGTCTCTTTCATATGAATTAACAAGTATTCTGGAGGAAACGAGGATACCATTATAATTTCTATGACTCAAGGCACCTTGAATTATCTCTATTCCCTGAATCTTTTTCATTTCTCTCTTTTTTTAAATGAAACTACCAGCTTGTTTTTTTTATACATTTGAGGCATTTCTAGCAAATCGATCTGTTAGAATCAAAATTGTTATGTTTTCATCTCAATGCTTTATTTTACTTACAAATTCTTTTCCCTTTTATTATTATTATTATTACTTTAAAGTTCATACTCTTTACTAAGTGACAAGATTTCCTTCTAGAACATGGTGAGAGACCAAAGTTGTCAGCTTCTGAGTGATTATAAAATGCTTGCATGGATTCTTTCATCCTTTTCCCTTGGTTCTGACTCTGAACCTCTGCAAAGGGTCACAGAGAAGAGAGAATGGGAAGGGAGTGATGAATAAAGAAAAGGACAGAGGGTTAGGCTTGGCAGCCAAAGAGGCTTGTGACTGGGAACTGGAAGAGCGGGGAGTTCTCCATGCCAAGCTGAGTTTTCATAGCCCAGTGAGCCTGGGGACGATTGATCATCTTCATGTGACACCAGTGGGAACGAGTAAACGTCATTATTGGAAAGAGGGGTTGTCGAGCACAGAGAGGCACCAATGCCAAAAGACAGGCTGTGGTCAGCACATTTTGATGGAGGAAAAGATTTCCCATGAGCCAGTGACTCAGGGCATCTATGTTAGGCTAAAGGAGAGAACACAGGGGGCTTTCCTGGGTCCTAGTAGGGTTTGTCCACAGCCAGTCTCAGAGCAGAAGTTGGAGGAACCTTATCAAGGACTCTAGAACACTTAAAGTGGCTTTTCACTGCCTGATGACATTTTTTTTCCAGAACCACGATTGTGTCCACTACTCATGAGATGCAGGCACTTGGGGAATTAATAAGTTCAGATAATGCCAATACTATGAACTCATGACCTAAAGGACATAGTTGTTTTTCAGATTTCACTTTATTGGTCACAATAAAATAAAAGAATAAAGCCCCAGGGTCAGATATATTATTAGCGAATTAAACATTAATATATTTGAATAATTTTGGATCTCTGACATTGGACTTGATGTTGGAAATGTGTGAAATGAAATAAATGGGGCCCTTGGTCAGCTCATGGGAAGAGATGTCTATAGAAGCAGGGATACTGGACAAAGCTCATTCTCAAACAAACCAAGATTTAAGGGATGTGAAAAAGTGAGGAAAGAGAAATGGATTTTTCATGTAGGTTTTTTTTTCTCCCACAGGAAAAAGGCAGTAGAAATGGCTGCTGACTGCCTGGAGTTGGTGATAGTTGCCTCATCCTGAGCAGAGAACGTGGGATACATCGGTAGGAGGATAGGCTACTGTGAGCAGATATGACTTCATTACCTCAGGTAATAATATAAAGCCTTGACATAGCATTTTGGGGGAAGACAGATGCCCACAAAGGCCTTCCCCATGATATGAAGAATGGTTAAGTGGGCTATTAAGGCATTGGAAATGGTGGAGAAACAGCTTAGGTGACCTGCAAGCAAGCCGCGGAGGCTCATGTTAGCTCCTTCTGGCTGGAGCGGTATGAGCTGTTTGTGCCCAAGAGAAGAAAGAACAGAATTTTATTCTGCAGACACCTCTTATCAGCTGTGGAGTTGGAAGCATCCTGATTAAGTCTGGCATCCGCTCGATATCCATTGAATGACATGCTCCCATGGGAAAGAAAATGACCGTTCCTGAGAACTCTTTTTATCAGTTCCGAAAGCCTTGATTGATGGACTGTACAATTCCTGGAAGCATCATGACAGCTTGGGTTGACTCTGAAGATGGCAGGGTGTGCTAAAGTTCCAGGATGCTAAGTGGCCTGCGTCCTTCATTGGGAAAGGAATGGGCAGGATGTGTGTTGAAGGCTGATGGTGTGAAGGGGCTGTCTCCTATGAATCTGTGATGGTCACCACAGCATTGCCTGAAAGAGGCTTGTATACTGTAATGTTAGTTAGGCAAAGCTTATTGTAACCCATGTCTCCTAAGTAGCCACTGAGAATGGATGTGAACTTTCCAAATGCTGCTTTCATGGTTGGAAAAGACGCAGTAAGTCCTTATAGACATGGAGACCAGGGCATAATATTCCAGTGGAAATGCTGGGCAGAAGAAAGGAAAAGGATATTTTTTTTACTGTGTGAGTTTATTTAATCTGTAAAAAATGGCAGCTGGAGAATATCACTTTTTATTTCTCAGCAAGGAGAGACATCAGTAAATTGATGATTATCTAGCCATAACTGGAAGTAGAAAGGAGACTGGACCAAGCTTAGAACTAGAGGGAAAGACCTGTGATGTTCAATTTTCATTGTCAATGAGTTTCAGTGATGGACTATTTAGATCAAGTTGGCTGATGGGCCTGTCTGTGGGGGATTGTCTTAGCTGCCCTGACTGATGTGTGGACACCCAGCCAGAAGTGAGAGGTCCCATTGTCTGGTTTGGGACCATGGACTATGTAAGATTTCAGGAAGCTGAGCACTGAGTAGTCATGTCTCTCTGCTCTTGATTGTGGTGTGAGCAGCTGCCTCAAGCGTCTGCCATTCTGATGGACTATTATCTACCATTGTGAGCTGTTAACAAATGCCCTTTGCCCCAAGTTGACTTTCGTCACGTTTTTAAAATCTCAGGAACAGAAATAAAATTAGAAGACCCAGCTTTTTTTTCTTTGCAAGGCTGTTTTAGCTAAGCTGTTCAGTCTTTTTCAGCCTAATGCCTAACAACTCAGATTATTAAATAATAATAATAATAATACCAGCAATAACATTATCATGCTTGTCTGTAGTGGGTAGGTCATTTTAATATGAATTATTTATTTTTTTCTCTGCCTAATACCTGTCTACAATAGCTAGAGTAGATGGAACGGAGGAAGGAAATTGCTAGAATCCTAGGTTCCAGTTCCAGCTCCGTCTTCAGTCTCATCTTTAACATTCCCCCTCATTTTTAGTACAATCAGGATAAGGCTATGAACCTCAGAACCCAGATGTGACACCTGAGGGAGGAGAGGTAGATAAGCAGGCTCCCCAAATGGAGGAAGGCCCCTTAAGTTCTGCCTGAGGGATGAGGAGAAACATTCAGTTGTTATGTGATTTTTCTGCAAATCCGACACATCCTTCCAGATGTGAGGCGAGGAGTCAACAGCATGGCTTTTAGAGCTAGGTGAACTTCTGATTTAGTACTGGATTAAACTCCCCTAAGCTCTGTGACTGGGGACAAGTGATTCACCTTTATCATCTGTGAAATAAGTGCAACCTCACAAGAGGATGGCAAGAGCAATGATATGATAAAAAACATCTGAATACACAAAACATCTTAGGGGATCAGACATAACCTTTATCAAAGTGGGGTGGAGTTAGATGGATGGTGTCTATGTCCGAAGAGACCTCTTTGGCCACTGGACCCACAGGTGCCCATGGAGGTCAGAAGGCATTGGATCGATCCCTGGAGTCAAGTTACAGATTGTTGTGAGCTTCCACCTAGCATGGGTGCTGGAAACTAAGCTCGTGCCCTGTGCAAATGCAGTATGGGTGTTACATGGCTGAGTTACCTCAGGCCTGGACAGACTGATTCCTATCTACATCCATATCCAGTGCGTTCTAAGATGTGCTAGAATCTAGGCTGACTAAAGAAGCCATTTGCCCATTTCTTCTTTGACTTAGTGCCGTGACTCAGTTCCTCCTTTTGGAAGCCTATGGAGCCCAGGCACAGCTCTCTTGACCTCTGACCCCTTTGTCTTTTTCACATGAGTTGGTTCCTTCTGTGTTTGTGGAGCTCTTTGTTTGGCCACCATCCTGCTCCAGGAAAATCAGTCATCTTAGAGACTTGCTGCTCACAATGAAATGCTATCGTCTGAGAAACTGAGCTCTTCAAATCCTCTCTCTTCCAACACAGGAAACAAGCTCATTCTTGGTGGGCTGCATACCTACCACGGTGCCTCAGTGATACCCAGGCTCCCACCCCTTCTGTCTTGAGTGGATTGGGAAGAAGGAAGGCAGCAGGCTCCAGGACACTACATGACATCCTGAAGCTTCCCAGCATCTGGCTTACTCATCATTGCTTAACATGGAACAGAGCTGTAGGTGAAACACGGGGGAATGGCCCATGAACTGGGAAAAAATGAAAAAGAGATCAGTGAAAATAAGTAGAAAGCTTCAAGTGATTTTTTCTTTAGGTCATGGTAGGAGTAGCGGTATTGTGATCGTGAATTATTCAGTTATTTCCTGATACCCCTGACCAGAGGTTTAGAGGTGCTTTGGGAAGGTCACTTATTGTATAACCTCTCTATGCTCTGCTGGGCTAGCATGCAGAGTAGTGGGAAGTGGCAACTCAGAATGTTCCAGAATGGGAATGTCTGCAGCTGTTGGACTCTGGAGGTATTCAGGAACTGAAACACAGGACCCACAGATGTAACCAACACTGGACAGGTGTTCTCTAGAGGATACAGACTCTCTGACATGTTTGAATAACAGGTTTATTTTGTCCCAACATATGTTCCCAGAGGAACAAAAGTGTGACCTAGAGGCTAACATGGTTTCTTCTGGGCACTGGTGTGAAGGGTACATGGGTTGACTGTAAAAGGGCCCAAGAACCCAATGTTTCTAGGATTTTAAGTTGAGAACGTGGTCTAGGAAGACTGTACCTCCATTTTCATGTCATTTTGGTGTTCATTTTTTATATATGAACTTTACTAGTTATATATAATTTCAAAATAACCTCACCCATTGATTCTAATTGAAATCATATTACATATATATTGAATTTATTGATCAAGATTGAGCTTTCTTTTTAATTTTTACACCGATTTCTCTGTCTCTCTCTCTGTCTCTCTGTATCTCTGTGTGTGTGTGTGTGAAAGAGAGAGAGAGAGAGAGAAAGCGGGAGAGCAAGCGAAGGCAAGAATGCGAAGGTCAGAGAACAGATTGTAGGAGTTGGTTCCCTTCTTTCTACTATGTGGGTTTCAGGCTTGATGCCCGGAGCCATCACCTGCTCCCGAGAAGCTGGTTTTCTCCCCTTGAATCAGTACAAAGACAAATAGAGATGAAAAGTAAGAAGTTCAGGTCTTCCCATTGAAATTTGGGAAAAAAGGTCTCCATGTTTTTCCCTTTCTCAATTTCTCATTGAAATCCCATGTTCAGAAAATAATTGGATCTGTGAGTTTGAAGTCTGAGTGAGAATGATTGGCCAGTGATATAGAAGTGGGAGCCATCAGCGCCTTGCAAACCCAGGAGACTGCCCGAGATTATTAATGGAGTGTGGAGGGACAGAGTCAAGGACAGCGCCGTGCAGAGACTGGGGGTGATAAGGACCGACTGGCTGGCTTAGAGGAGGGAGGCACTTATGGTGTCCTGAAAATAAGAAAGGAGAGTAGAGAAGGCAGTGTTCAGCCAAGTCGAAATGCTTCCTACAGCCAAGCAAGTGAATAAGGGCCTTGGTGTGGAGTAACATTGACGTCAATAGTGATCCTGACCGGAGGTCACTCATGGAGTTGACAGAGTTCAAGGGTGATACTTAAGAAGATGTAGCCAATCCTTGATTGAATTTTGGGTTAATCTAGCACCACCATTGTCATTACCGGTAATAGTAAAATCCATGAAGGATATGATTGGGGATAATAGAGGAATTTGAAATGGGCTATGCAACACTCTTTAGAAATGGTAAGTTCTCTGAGCACGGCGGCTATATTAAGTACTCTATGAAACTACTTTAGGATATACATGCAACAGTCAGCAGGGTGATATGAAGTCTATAATTAACTTTGAATAGTTCACCAAAAAGAATGTATGCATATAAATACATATTTATATATACAATTTCATATATGGCCTTAAAATTGAAATAAGACTTTTCAAGAAAATACAGAAATGGTTGATAATTTGTGTACTTAGATGTATGTGGTGTAAAATGTTTATTTATATTGGTATATATGTGTTTTTATTGTACGAGCCTCAGTTTTTGTGGCCTGAGCCCAGGGCCTTGAGTGGGGTAGACAGGTGGTGGCCTACCTTTGGACAGAGATATTTTCTGCTTTAGTTCTCTGTGTGTAGAATGTCTTTCTTTTGTTGCAGAGTCGCACCTTTGTTGCAATCAAATAATTTTCAAATAATGGAAAAAAGTTCAAATCTTGTGCTTTTTAGAAAACTTGGCCACACGTTGGCTACACTATTTTTTTTTAAGCTGTGTTATTTTTACCAACATTATCTTTTTGCAATCTTCATTATTAAGGGTCACCATCCCTCTTAAAAGCCTAGATAAAGCAAATTAATCAGACTCAGACTTTTGGCTCTCCCTGGTTTGCATGGTGTAAATCCTCCAGTTGTCACAGATTTAGGTCCCAGGCGTGGTGTCTCTGCTAAGGAGAGATGTACAGTAATGTGCTGTCTTCTGCCGTCACAGTTATACACACAGGGTGGACAGCTGGACCTCAAGACCTTAGCTGCCTGGAAAATGAACCTAAAGAATTTTTCTTGTCTGTTATCTTTAAACATTTTCAATAGATTCATTTAATTGCAAGCTTACCTAATTCAATATAGAAGATGTTTGCATTTGACCTTGCCTCGTAAGACCCCTGAAACAGTAATGTTTGGCTCTTTGCCTGTTTGTGAAGTAGCTGCATCACGCTTTGTGAAGGCTACTGTTTCAGAATTGGGCTAATTCTGGGTCAATAAGGGAACCTTAACTTTCTAAAGCCAAATTCTCCAGAGCAGAAGGAGGCCTGGAGTTTTCGTAAGCTGCACCTTCCTCAAACCTCTCTGTCTGCCTACTCTCATGAGCAGAAGGCAGACCAGCAAGTGCAGTTTCTTGTCCTCTCCCCATGCCAACACCTTCTGTTGTCCTTCCTCATAGACACTTTTTCTGAAACAGAGCAAGTGAACTTTGAAAAAAGCAACTACACTGGCAAAGAACAGAGAGGTTAGTTTATAGAGGGAGCCATCTACACCCCTGGTGGGAAGGTCAGTTAGTCCAGCCACCATGACTATCATATGGAGGCTTCTTGAAAGATGGAGAACAGAAACTTGATCTCACGGTTCCACTGGGGAGCGTTTCCCCAAAGGACTCAAAATCAACACATCAGAGAGACGCTTGCGCATCCCTGTTCTGCAGGTATGTTAGGGAACCAACCGAGGCATCCAACAAAAAAGGACGGGTAAAGAGAATGCGTTACATATCTACAGAGCATTTCCTTTTCGTTCTGAAGGAGGGACTCTTGTCATCTGTGGGAAAATGCATCCAACTGGCTGAACAATTGCGTAAACGAAGCCGATTTTAGAAAGATAAATACCATGTTTTCTTTCATCTCTTGTTTTTAGATTTCATATAAATAAAAGATGTATGTTTAGGACATGAAAGTAAAAGTGAGCACAAGGATCAAGGGAGACTCAGGGGAGGGAGCGGCTCAAGTTACAGCATATCCATGTATGAAAAGCCCTTAGCGAATATATTTAACACAGTTGAAACTTTAAGAGACGGAAAAAGAAAGAAAAAGGATTTCTTGGTCTGAGACAAAAATCTTTCACACCCTCATAGTTCCTGGCTGGAGCTCAGATGGCTTGGGGTGTGCAGTGCACATTACCTTCTCAGGAGGAGGGTAACATACTACTGTTGAATGGGCTGTTTCGTTACTTGCCCTGCAAGGCCAAGGCCATAGCTGCCCTCTATGTGGGAGACCTTTCATTGTTTGAGGCTCTCCTCCTGCAAACGCTTGGTTGACTAGGCAGATACTGCAGAGCTGGGCTGATCCCTCTTGCCATATCAATATCTTGGGGCCATGCCAGCATGTCTAAGGGGCAGACAGGACTCTCATCAAGGGCCCTGCCTCTTCTTTTCTTTTTTTTTAACAGATAGGAACTTACAGCTGCGAGAAAGAAACTTTTTCTTTTGCCAGTGCTAGTGGTGATGCCTGTGACAATATGGGCAGAACTCAGCTTGGAGTTTCTGTATACATCTACGAAAGTTCCAGGCCATCAGCAAAATGCGACCGGCGAGGATCAGCAGGAGTGTATTGGGAAATCCAACGCAGGAAGAAAGAGCAAGGGTGGGCTTTTGGGATGTTTGTTGACAGAGTAAAGCAGTACTGTAAGTTTCCCCTCCAAGCGTTACTGGATCCGTGGCAACTTGGCAAAGGTGTTTTCACTGTTTTTGAAACATCAATGATAAGAAAAGAGCCTGAAGGCGTTTCTTTGATCTTTTTGATCTGATAAAGAAATATAATCTAGATATGCAACTAAAAAAGGCCAATTAAGAGCATTCAAAGACTGTTTTATCTGCTCGTTCAAACGAAGGGTAGCATTTTGCTGTTTTCTTCCTTGCCTACCTACTGTTGGCATGACCCATTTTCTTAAGAGTTTAGCATCTTCTCGAAGGCCCTGGGATCTGGTTTCAGAGCTGTGGGCTCAGATCTCGAAAGCAATGTCACCAAAGGAGACTGTTGCTTGCTTCCAGACAGCTGTCATTCAGAAAGTGTTAAGGTCCTGGGTTGATTCTCAGAACTGCAAAGGGACAAGCAAGCATTGAGAAGCTAAAGTTGGCCAAGGATTTTTCCAAGCAGAGAAATGCAGTCCACACTCAGCCAGAGGCTTTCAGAGGAAGCACGTTTTGCCTTGGATAAAAGCGGTGTGCTTGTCAATGTTTCTATGCTGTGGCTCCTAGGAAGACCGTGGGGCATCTACGTTTCTCTCCAAGGGTGACCTTGACAAGCAAAGCTCAGTTATGATAGAATCGTTTAGAAAGTGATTCAACATTATGACATTTTCTAACCAGTGGCTGTCAATTTGGAAGTCCACAGGGTACTTTGTGGGATCACATAATTAAAGATCACATCTGGCTTTTCAATCAATCAATATGTCATTTTTTTTCCCTTCAGCATAAATCAGGGTGAAGAGCACTGGGGACAGATCTGGCAAACACGTGAGCTTGGCGGAGCCCCTCATGGTCCTGTCTTTCAGCTGGTTTATTTCTTGATCGAACACTTTCTTCCCTCGTGAGTACTGTAATTTTAAAAGATTTTTTCTCATACCTTTAAAAGTGTGTGCTCACAATATAAGATCAAAATAATGAAGCTGAAGCCAGCATAATTCTGTAAATTAATCACAAGATGATTTCCACTATAATTTTTAATTTATCTGGTGGAAAAACTTGTAAATATATCGATATGTTTTTAGTACTTTAAAAGCTAATGCTACAAAAAAAAGGGTAATAGTCTTTGAGAGTGACAATTATATCTAAATGTGACATTATTTGTGGGAGAGGCTGTACTAGCAATCACTTTTACTGTAATGAAGTACCTGAGGTGGACTAGCCTTAGGAGAAAAGAGGTTCAAACACAATAATACAGATTTGGGTAGTCCTCCCTGTTTCTCCTCTGTCGTTACCTCCTGGAGGGTGGCCACAGTTGAATACTTGGGGTAGAGAGAAACAGGGTTCTTGGTGTGAAGCCACAGAGATTGGGTGGGGCCAGATTCAGGAATTTGCATCAGTTCTCTAAGGAGAACTAACCAGGGCCACAGGGGACGCGTGAGCAGTGCTTCAGTAACTACCAAAGGGCATACTCTCCGCACCTGAGAATCCCCACTGGACTGGTACCTTAGGGTGTACATCATTGCCTGATGCCGTTACTTTGAGGAGCAACCACATAACTTCTTGAGCAGACACACCGAAGTAACATCTAAACCATAGCAAAGTTTAATAAGTAAAAATGTGATTTTTCTCAATTAATTAAGAATGAAGCTTTAGAAGTATTAAAAAGTCCTTTTCTTTGCTGTAATGTACAGTTAACTTCAGTCTAACATATTCCTGTGTGTATACAAAGATTTAATACATTTGTATATAGTTATAGGCATAAAATTTACATAGTATATATTCTATTTGCTCTAAATATAGGTTGGCTTGGGACAAAGAAGTGGTTTAGATGTAGATTTTTGTTTTCCCAGATTTTGGCATATTTTCCAATCTACCATGAGATTTCCTGGCATCCTGGCCTAAGTCTAAACACCTTATGTGTTTGGCATACACGCAGGATGGAGGTGATGTCTGTATTCTTTAGGAGCCTGTGTTTTGGCTGTGGCCTCTCACACAGGTTAGGTGTGGAACTTTCCACTTGGGATGTCATGCTAGTACTTGAGTTTTAGAGTTTGGCACATTTCAGATTGGAAAATTTTGTATCACAGGTACTTACCCGATATGACACCTGCTGCTTTAGCTTTTGGGGGTACGTTTTTGTTTTGCAAAATTAATTTAGTGAAACTGAGAGTCAAAGCTACTCTTCACATATTATGGTTATTATTGATAATATTGCCAGAACTTTTCATGACATTATTATATTCTAAAGTAAAAACAAGTACACATTTAAAATAATTTACTCTATGATCAATAGCTTAAAAGTGCCTTAAGAAACTGTGGGGAAGCCAGGCGGAGGTGGCACATGCCTTTAATCCCAGCCCTCGGGAGGCAGAGGCAGATCTCTGTGAGTTTGAGGCCAGCCTGATCTGCAGAGTGAGTTCCATGACAGGCTCCAAAGCTAAAGAGAAACCCTGTCTCGAAAAACCATAAAATAAAATAAAAAGAGGGAGAGAGAGCTCACTTGGTAGTGCTTCCTTGCAACTTTGGCCCCCAGAACCCATATTAACAAAAGGCCTGGCATAGTGGTGTGCCTGTAATCTCAGCTCTGTGGAAGCAGAGGCAGGCGGGTCCTAGGGTATGCTGGCCCGCCAGCCTCATCTACTTGGCAGGTTCCAGGCCAGGCAGAGATTCTGCCTGCCTCACAAAACAAGGTGGACAGTGACTGAGAAATGACACCCGAGGTTGTTCTCTGTTGTTATCCATCTGCATCTACATAAACATGCACACACACATACACACACATACACACACACACACACACACACACACACAGAGGCACTGCAAGCATTTGCCTGTGACACAGATCCAGAGTGGTATCCTGAACATTGCCACACACTCTAGATGTTTGACATTTTGTGACTTGCTAATGGTACAGAGGAACATTCAAAATGCTGCCTCTTGGTGATTCTGTTTCGCAAATATGACACTTGAAATTCACACAAGAAACCTTGAGCAGGAAACACCAGCGGGGTTAAAATATTAGGCAATGCTATACAGCAAAGAGTGGGTTTAATAGGGAAATCAAGATCTCCTGAGTAAATTGAAAGCAAGGGGGGAGGTCACAGGAGAGGGTAGAAGGGGAGAGGGGAGTAAGAGAGGGGAGCAGACAAGAGTGCATAGCTCAATAAAGACAATGAAAAAGAAAAAAAAGTGGATTTAAGTCAATTTTTCATCAAGATGAAAATGTGTATCTTGTTTGGAGGTAATTTTTTTAAGATTAATACATAATATTTTTAAGAAATAGTTGCCTGGTAAGTGTAACTACCCTATAAGGAGAGCTTGGCTTGAACTCTGTAATTTCTCTCTGCTGAGTAGGAATGAAGCAAACCCAGGTACCTCCCGAAACCTCAAACCTCCAGTTTCTTAAACTGTGGGTCATGAATCTGTTCTAGTTTCTTTTCTGTTGCTGTTGTAATACATTGACCAAAGGGAGGTTGCAATCTGTCACTCAGGGAATCTGAAGCAGAATCCTACTTACTGACTGGCTAGCTTTTAGATATACTTACTTACACAGCTGGCTTTTGGATATAGCCCAGGCTTACCTGCCAGGGATGGCACTGCCCACAGAGTGCCGGGCCCTTTTACGTCAAACCGCAATCAAGACAATGCCCAGGGCATGAACACAGGCCAATATGATGGAGACAATTTCTCAAGTGAGTTCTCTTCTTCTCTGTTGTGTCGAGTTGACAACCAAGATTAGCCATCACAGACCCTCCGTTGGGTCAGGTAACCACGTATCTGGGGAGTCACAAAATATCTGGTAGCAACAGGAAACTTTGGAATGCGGAACAACCAAAAGTGCATTTAAAATCAGGCAGGTTATGAACCGGAAGTATCTCTGGCAGTGCTGTCCCTGTGGCATCTGTGACTCCCATGAAGCCTCCTTCTGCATACACGGCACACGCTTTTCGCAGCATACGGGGCATCACACCAGTAGTCCCACTGAGTGCTGCCTGACCCCACTTGGCTCTGGTTCAGGACTATTGTCTGTTATGAATTGCTCTGCTTTTCCTGCTCGTGTAAAGTTTTCCACTCTTATGAAAACATAATGGTTTAATTATGGGAAACACAGGCTTTTAATATTTTCCTCTTGTCATTCCTCAGCATGTAAGCATTAAATTAGTATATCTTGATTGCACTGTGTTGGAATACTTGGGTTTAAAATTGCTCTTTGAGTTGTTAACTCAAGTTTTACATAAAAGAAACCACTCAGCGAAGTTCGGCGTGGGGCGAGGCTTGAGACCTTGTATCCGACAGTCTTGGAAACAGCCCTAGGTGTCGTCCCGTGGGTTTATATGTGTACTCATGCCAAGTGGCATTTTATAGTTGATTATAAAATCAAAGTTGATAGAAACTTTGAAAAGTGTCAAAGATCCTTTATATCCTGTGGTAGCAAATATTCAGCCCGGATTTAAATCTTTGTGAAAAATAGCCACATTAATCTCTTTAGAGATGCTTTTGTCTTTGATCAGGAGTAGAATTACATACACATAAAAATTGTTTTAAAATCAGGTGGTGGTGGTGCATGTCTTTAATCCCAGCACTTGGGAGGCAGAGGCAGGTGGATCTCTGTGAGTTTGAGGCCAGCCTGGTCTACAGAATGAGTTCCAGGATGGCCGGGCTTATATAGAAACTCTATCTCAAAAAAAAAAAAGTTTTAAATTAAATTTATAATGTTTTTAAAATCAGCGAAAGGTATGACTTCATAATTCTGAGAACCTAAGGTTACTTAAACATTTCTTGAGTGAAAAGGGGCCATAAAGAGAAAACATTCAAGAACTTTCAACTCTGGTTACGTGGGATTCAGAGATTCAGAAACTGTAGAAATTCCTAGGGTGACCAGGTACCCCTCTCTCTGGTCCTTCTTGCTGTTAGAGGAAACAAAGAACTGTCTCCCTTGGTCTGATGCAATGGAATCCCAGGCTGAAGTTTCAGTGACTGTCTGACATGGGTACAGTCATCAGTTCCAGCGTTTGGAGTGGGCACGTCACTATGACCATGTACTCTTGAGTCACGTGACTTTCCTCTCAGGGAAAGTTAAGCGGGAAAGCAAGAGAGGAAGAAATTCCCCACATAAATTGCCTTTGCTCAGAGAAGCAAAGCCATGAAGGGCTTAGTAGGGGGCTTAGTAGGCTACCTTACCCTACTAGAGGCCTGGTAAGGAATTCGGTGTGAGGCTGTGCTGGGACAGCTGCTGAGTTCTGGAGTCCGGTTGGTCTGCAGTGTTAGCTGTTGGGAGGGAAAGCCAGGCGTAGTAGACTGGAAAAGACAAAACCAATTGGATCCATGTGGTTAAACTGGACCCCCCAAGGACAGACTGGCTGGGTCCTCTAGGGAGCCCAAGGGAGCTCTCTGATGAGGACCGGATCTGTGCCTGCTGGAAAGTCTCTCATCTGTGAGCTGAGCCAGTGGATAGGTGATGGCCCTTGGAAAATGTCAACCTGCCTTCCACCTTTGAATGCCCTTCAGAGTGTTTCTCATGCCTTGCAGAATTTAGGACCCTTTCTCTCGTCAGTGGTCCTTATCTGACACTCTGCAGGAAAGGGAACTCTAAGGCACCTCCGTTTACATAAAGTGGCACACTGTAAGGTCACCAACTACATCTTGGAATCTGCCTTTGCCTCCTTGCTTAGATCTGAGGATTGGAAATGGTTGCTCTCTCAGTGCTCCTATCAGAAGAGGCTTGGTTCCAGCGGAGGCTCAGTTCTAAAATGTGTGGATTCACAGGGTGTGTCTTATTTCTCTTTTATTCCTCAGCCTTGAGAGATTAATCATGACATCATCACATCATGACATCACCCACATTTCACAACGGAAGGGCACTGGGCTATTTATCCACAAAGGAGAAGAACAACTGCCAAG